TAATCTTCTGAAAGAAAATTCTTTTTAGTTAATCCCAGTGCTGTCAGAGGTTAGCCTCAAAAGCACCAGGAGGGAAACGGAATTCTCAAAGTGACTTCTTCAGACCTTGCCTGGTTCCTGCCAGACACTTGCTCCTTCCAGTCCCTCCTGCAGTTCCAGTGATTGATCAATACTCTAACAGCTAGCAGACCAGACCTAGCACACTCCATCTGAAGCCCGCGGCAGGCTCCAGGATCCCCAGTAAACATAGTCCCCAGAAGCCCCAGGTAACGTGTCATTACTCATCAGTTACGCGTGGGCTCCCTCAGTTGAAAGGCCTAATTCCTGCTGTAATCTTGGAGGGGATAGGGTGAGAAGGTCCAAGAAGAAAATGAGAATCCTTTGGTTTAAGGGGAGTTATCACAAACTTTGTCCATCATTTAGATGAAAAGGGTGACTCCTTCCTGCAAAAGGACAAAGTGCAGCTCAGAGCAAGAACCCCGGGCTCCAACCCATGTGTGGCCAGTTTTCCTGTGGCATCCTGTCCGGTGACAGGCAGCTTGGGCTCTCACAGGAGCCAGGCCACAGCAGGGGAAAGAGGATACCTGCTTGCAAAATCTGTTTTTGCAACCTAAGGACAGCTTTGCTAATCCCAAATAGATATCTTTCCTTGCTTTCTGGAAACCCAGAAAGCATTCCTTTTTATTATTATTAAGATTTTTTTGTTTGCACATCAGTAGGACATTTGCCTTACACGTGGCTGATCCATCTGACTCAGGTTTGATTCCTCCACCCCTCTTGGAGAGCCCCGCAAGCTACCGAGAGTATCTCTCCCACACGGCAGTCTGGCAAGCTCCCTGTGATGTATTCGATATGCCAAACACAGTGACAACAAGTCTCACAATGGAGATGTTACTGGGCCCGCTCGAGCAACTTGATGAACAACGGGAGGCCAGTGCTACAAGATTTTTTTTATTGAGTCACCATGAGATACACAGTTTAAAAGCTATTAATGATTGGGTTTCAATCATATAATGTTCCAACACCTAGCCCTTCACCAGTGTATATTTCCCACCACCAATATCCCCAGTTTCCCTCCCACCTCCTCCCACCTCTATGGCAGGCACTTCCCTCCACCCCCCCCCCCCGCCTCTCTCTCTATCTCTCTGTCTCTCTGTCTCTCTCCTTTTGAGCATTAATTATGATTTGCAATACAGGTATTGAAAAGTTATCATGTTTGTCACTTTACCTACTTTCAACACTCAGTTCTTGTCCAGTAATTATTTTCAACTATCACTGTTACAGTGGACCCTTCTCTTCTCTAACTTCCCTCCCTCCACCACCACTTGTGGCAAGCTTCCAACTGTGGACCAGTCCTCCTGGCCCTTGTTCCAGAAAGCATGTTCTATAAAAGACTGAGAACACCACTCTGCAAATTAGCCTTTAAGTTCCAAATTCCACACTGGTTTTAGGGCATATATGGATGCATGGAACTATAAACATTTTGGGCACACATGCAAAGGTGATCACAGGAGCCTCAGGTCTAGTACAGGCCCTGCCCATAAACCACCTTGTGTCTGTACCCTGAGCACAGCTCTCAGCAAAGCCAACCCAAGTTCTGACCTACAGAACTGCAAAGATGATGTTGTTTTCCGTCTCTCCCTTTGTGGTCATTTGTTATAAAAACCATCGAAAACTAGCATAACAGGCAGACCACCTAAATCTGGGTGATGTGGGGAGTAAGTTCTTTTGACAGCTGAGCTAAAGCTACAATCTCTGACCAGTGTCTCAGCAGTCAAGCTCATGTTTGATCTCCAGCTGACGCCTGTGTCCAGGTCTCAATTCGTCTGAACTTGAAGGGAATGAGTTTTTATTTGTTCACCCCAATGAAAACTCCAACATCAGACATTTTGTGACTCTGCCACCAAAAGCATTCCTAAAAAACACAACCACCCTCAGTCATCCTTTAGCATAAAGCACAGACTTGAAGGATGGAGAGAGAACCCAAACCATTTCCCCTCAACTGGCATCTAGAACGCTGACTTCATGTTTCATTTTCAATCAGTGAAGAAAAGTAAAGATAAAGAGTACGTTCTTTATGAGAGTAAAGATGAGGGAAAATATTTTATCACTCCTGAGCAAGAGTGGGTGAAAAGGGGAGATGGAGGCAGTTGGTGGGGGTGGGGGATAAATCTTTCTATGGGAACTGAACTAAAAACTCAGAACTCAATACCCCAGACATTGCTGGTTTGCACAAGAGTCTGACCCAAGAGTCACTCACTTCTAGGTGGAGTTCAAACGTGTTTGTGGGGGTGGAGGTAGGTTTTGTGTGATCTTGTGGCTGATAACAAGAAAAATATTTTTGATAACTTGGTAAGAAGAAAAAAGAAAAATAAGTAGCGTTTTGAGAGTTTCTACAAAACAACACATAGCTGTTGCAAATTCTCCACATTTAGGAAGTGTGCTCCATTAGTCCTGGAACTCAGTAACCTCCACCAACAGCCCTCTTCCATCAGAGGACAATGCATTTGCAAATACATGCATCTGCAGAGGCGCACCTCTGTGCACTGACAACACAGAAATATACTATCTTCTTCCTAGAAAACATCCAGCCTTTGATGGAGTTGCAAGGAACTGGCTGGGTCATCAGCACTATAGGAAATTGTGAGGCTTTTAAGATCCTAACTCCAAATCTGTTGAGTGATCTATTGAAGAGGGAGAGAAAAAGCACTTCTACTAATAATTTAAAATTGATTGGGCTGGAGCGATAGCACAGCGGTAGGGCGTTTGCCTTGCACACAGCCAACATGGCCAACCCGAGTTCGATTCCTCCGCCCCTCTCGGAGAGCCCAGCAAGCTACCGAGAGTATCTCACTCACGTGGCAGAGTCTGGCAAGCTACCCATGATGTATTCGATATGCCAAACACAGTAATGGAGTGTCCAATAGAGACATTACTGGGCCCGCTCGTGCAAATCAATGAACAATGGGAGGACAATGCAAATAAAAATGCAAAACAGGAAACCAAGCCCCCAAATTTGGTAGCAGATATAGTTAAAATGATTGTAACTGCTTTCTTTATTTAACTAGAGTAACCACTCAAATACTATTTCTTTTTAATTTTTGCTGAAAAGGACTTCAAAAAGTGTTCAATTCTTTCTTTCTAGAAATTAGAAAGAAAGAAAGAGATACAGAGAAGCTTCATAAGAATCAAAAATGGGAGATCAGTTATTTCTCTATTTGAGTCTGGTTTGGCCTGTTTGATCTGACAAATTTAATGTTGTTGACTCAGAGGGCCAGAAGGCCGAGCAGCTGGAAATAGCTCATGGAAACAAGATTGAAAACTGGACATCTGAGAAGCAGAGAAGCTGAGGATCGGTTGTTTCCATGGTGACCACTAAGGAACCAGGTACCTGTACTAATGAGGCTGGCTGACCCACCAGCAATTAGGAAACAAAGGTTAAAAGACATTTCAGAAAAACCCAAAGGTCACCAAGCTACTCTGATGAAATCTGAATGCATAGCCAGCCTGCCATTAGGAGATAAACAAGTGCAGTTCTGACCTAACTTTGTATTTTACCTTAAGCCAAGCACTTTCTATACATCCAGCATGCAACTTAATCTGTCCTTCAACTCCTTCGACTCTAGCAAAACCTGAAACTATTAAACTGAGGAGTATCCTTGCAGTCATCTAATGGAACATACGAGTTCATGTATAAGAGGGTAAAAATAAGTCATCTTTAGAATTAACAACTGATCTATCTTTGTCCATTATTGTTAGATTCTGGAAATGTCTCTAATTGTCATTTTTTGTTTGATTTGGTTTTGGTTTGGGCCCACACCTGCAGATGCTCAGGGGTTATTCCTGGCTCTGCACTCAGGAATTATTCCAGGTGGTGCCCAGAGGACCATATGGGATGCCAGGGATAGAACTAAGGTTGGCCGAGTGCAAGACAAATGCCTTACTGGCTGTACTATTGCTCTGGCCCCTAATTGTCATTTTTAAGTATTATGTCACCACATGAAAATATTTGTTGAGGAAGTTTGGAAAGACCTGAGAAGTGAGTTAATAAAGAGAAATATAGTAGACATAACCTTACACCCAAGTACTGCAAAAAAAATTTTTTTAATTAAATCATATAAAGGGGTGTGAGTTAAAGGGCATTAGGAATCCCAGTCCAGTGACCTCCAATCTGCATGCCTGCCATTATTGGCATCTTTAGTAAACAACTTCCTTGAAATTGTTTTTCCATTTTTGGAGATAAAAATTCTCAAGATGGGAAAAATATGAAAATAATAGCAATAATCAACATCTTAGTATGAACAAAAACAGCAAAGCAATATTGCCAAAGGAGCACTGAATCATGGAAAGAGATGGGGTCAGGGCAGAGGACATAAGGAGACAAAGAAGAAAGCAATATTGGGGAAAGGTAGGCTCCGGCAGAAGTATCGGAAGTCAAAATGTACCTGGCTGGGGCTGGAGCAATAGTACAGTGGGTAGGGCATTTGCCTTGCAAGCAGCCAAGCCAGATTCAATCCCTATCACCCCACATGGTTCCCAGATTTTTCCAGGAGTGATCCCTGACTGAAGAGCCAGGAGTAAGTCCTGAGCACTGCCAGGTGTGGCTCAAAAAACAATGTGCCTCAGGCACTGAATTTAAAAATAAAATGGAGTGAAAAAATTCCAACAGAAAAGGATGAGTTTAACAAATATACTAAAGAACCAACTCCAATCTTCAAGAAGAAACTTATATGCCTTATATGCAGAAAATTTACATGTATAATTTATACTTAACCCTCTTGTGTGGAAATTCTGGGAAAACCATTTTAAAGGTGGAAATTGAAAGGAAGATAATTTAGGCACAGGACCACTCATCGAATATAAAATATGATGATAACACTGTACTTGTTCATTAAAAGGTGATTTCGATTCAAGAATGCTTATATCATGTCTTCTGACTCTGGTCAGGCAAAAACCAAGTAGATCACAGAGAATGGGGTTTAAGTAGATATAGTACTCACTCGAAAGACCTTTTCCACTCTTGCAATGCTTTTCCCAAAGATGGTTCCAAGTTGATCTCCAATTCCAGCCAATAAGAAACCAAAGAGTGGGATTCCAAATATGGCGTATAAAATACAAAAGATTTTGCCTCCTTCAGTGCTTGGAGCAATATTCCCATACCCTGGTGAGAAATATTGAAAAAAGAGGAGAATCATGAGGTGACAGAGAAACAAAAGTATAAAGCAAAGACCACACAGACTTCTCAAAAGGTCTCTACATCCCCTTTTGTGAGTGTTACGATATAGAATTTCATTTGAAAGGCTCAGCGTAGAACTTTTCTATAAATTCAGAACACTATTCCTTTGCTCCTCTTCTTTCTCCCCCTGTAGGAAATTATAAGAAGACCCAAATCTTCTGGATCTAGTGCATTTCATCCCATCTTAGGAAACTGTGGTTATCCAAAATTGCATATCTGATAGAAAATGATAATCTGTCCATTGATCTAATACACCAACCATCACAGGCATCTGAGAAGGTATCACAATTGTCTTTATCCTATTTGAAAATCCAAGTTACTTCTTTTCAGTCTTACTTCATGGCCATCCCTACACCATGGCTCTCTTCACTATTTGTTTCACAGGATGATGAATGATATGTAGTGTAGTACATATTCAGAAAGGACCTCTGGGTCATCCAGTTCTGCCCCAGGAATCCTGATTGTTGAGTGAAGGAAGGAAATATGTGTCTTCTCTTGGCTGTGTTGTTTAGCTCTGCTCCTGTTTCTCTTTACCAGAAACTGCCCCTTATCTAAAAGTCTGTTCTCTTCTCACTCACTTAAGACACCATAGACCTAGTGGATGCTTTGTAAAGGTACAAAACAGATGTGTGAATACTAATGCTTTATTAGCTACCTCTACTGGTATGTATTTCAAATGATGCTTTGAAAATGTCAGCATCTGAAGTTACATCAATAACTTAAGTACAGCTAATTCTCTATGGATGGAACTAAAGAAACTAGTGCCAAAAGAAACACTCATTGCATTAGCACAATTAATATTAGGGTGAGAGTTTAAGCGACTTGATATTTATTGCCATGCCAAAGAAGACTGAATATTATGTATGCCAACTTGGGTCGAGATAATCATCCAACAATTCTCCTTTAGTCAGGCAGTTCATACAGAATCCGGTTCAAATTCCATGCTAGGCTGTCCTATTGAGTATGCAGCCCTCAGCACATCAGGAACACAACACAAGTGAAAAATAGTACTGTCAACTGCTCCATCACACCTCCTCCCCTGGGCCTATGGGACTCCTTGTTGCTTCTTGTCTTTTGGCAATGAGTCACCTGGTTATTTTCCCTTTCAATTTTCTAGACAGAACCATTCAAAGCTCTTATCACAAATTATTTAAATTATAGTTTCCATGTTCTTAAATGAGAGTTCTGGCAAGCCAGCCTAATCTTTTCTTTTGCTCACCACCATTTGGGTTTAATTAGGAGGAGTGGTGTGTTAGGGGGAACTGGGACTTTGTTCTTTTCAGGTACCTATAGGAGTTGAGATGAATCTAAAGGAGATTAACAAAATATTCTATTGAAAATAGAATAAATATGTATTATAGCCAACTTTATGCCAGCTTATAATGATTAATGTCTTAGTAGCTTGTGGAAAACATTTATGATGCTAGTTTCCTGATTCAAGAAATGCAAGTTTTCTTCTGATCCAACGTCTCAAGACGTCCCATCATGAGGTACCTTCTTAACTCTAATAAGAGTAGATTTTAAAAAGGATATTCCCTGCTCTTCAGCAAAATACTGTGCTCAGGGAACATTCTAATGTCACCAAAGAAGACAGTATGAGAAGATGGTTCCATATCCATTTGTATCTCATTCAACCTGGTTGTTCTCAGACCAGTCTCTCTAAGTCTTACTTTTGAAGGGGTTTAAGGAAACTGTGGGGAAAACATATGTATTGTGAAGTTATATACCAATGCAAAGTGACATCAGTATCATAACCATCATCATTATCATTACAATTGACACTTTACTTTTCCTTGTTTCACAAACTAAATCACTAACATAAAATCAAGTTCTTGGGTAAGGTTATTAATGTAGTAACACTCAAATATGTTTGGTCTGTTCTTTTGTTTTCACAATGCTAGGAATGAAAATCAGGGCCTCACATAGGCAGTGTAAGTGCTCTATCAATGAGTCATTCCCCAGTCTTCCAATACATCTATAATTCTATGTGAGGCCATTTATTTGCAGCAAAAATAATGGAGTAACTGTCATTCTTGAGTAACTTTCTTTTGTACATGATTGTTTGTAAATGTGTGTGCATGTGTACACACATGAATTTTGCATCCTCTGTGTCTGATGAACTACCTGGAGAGACCTTTCCAATTTGATCCACAAACATGTCACTTTGGGAAAATTTCAGAACTTACATTTGGGATAGCTTTGCTGGTACAGGGTCTATGAGACTGTGCTGCACATCCTTCCAGAACACTTGGAAAAACAGAGAAGGAAAGGCCACAGGGATTGCCATCCCAGTTCTTTCATTGAATAACTCACAGATGTTGCACAATCACCCTGACCTTTCTGCCCACTTTCCAAAACAGAAAGATAGGACTGAGCTGGAGAGATAGTACAGGAGGTAAGATGCTTGCCTCGCAACACAGTTGATCTAGGTTCACCTATGGTTTCTTGAGCCCTACCCGGAGCCATCCCCAAATGTAGAGCTGGGAGTAAGATCTGAGCACTGCTGGGTGTGGGCCAAAAGTAAACAAAGAAAGGAGGAAAAAATGGAGTTGCTATTAGCAGCTCTCCAACAGTTATTAATGATGCAATGGTTCCATGTATGACTTGGGAGCGCTGTGAAGATTAAATTCATGTTCAGCATAGCGCAAAGTTAGCTCTTGGTAAGGATTAGCAATTATCCTCTTGCCCTGAGCTCTTCTCTGGGGTAGAATCACTCCTAAGCAATATGTTTCTGGGAAAATTAAGCCTCAGAAGAAAGAGATGGTTGGCTCCTATTTCCCCTCTGGAAACACCACTCCTCTCCCATAGCTGGTCCCTGTGAATGAAGCTAGGATCCTTTGCTGACTAATCTTGAGATACTAAGTCAGTTGTTTTACTCTCTGAACCTCAACATCAGCACAATTAGGTTAATAACAGTACCTGACTCCATGCGCCACACATTGTGGAGTGTTGGGCCTGGTACCTCGTAAGCACTCAGTAAACCTTAGTCACAAACATCACTGTTTCCAAGTAAGGAGTAAAATACCCAAGTCTGGTACTGGCAAAGGAAAAATCACTGCCTAAGCACCTTGACAGGCCCAAGTCTAAACTGAGGCTCCCAGCAGGGGAACACAGTTACAGGCAATCATCTGATATTTAGCCAGTGACTCTGTCTGATATGGTAAAATCTGGGAGCTCAAAGCAAAATCATCACAATAACTAAAATCTGGGGACTGGGAAAACAGTACAGCAATCAGGGAGCTTACCATGCATGTGGCCTACCAGGTTCAATCCCTGACACCCAAATGATACCCTGAGAACCACCAGAAGTGATCCCTGAGTACAGAGCCAGGGTAATCCCTGAGCATCACATGCTATGGCCTCTCAAGAAATAAAAACAGGGGCACAGTGGGTAGGGTGTTTGCCTTGCATGCAGCCTGACCCAGGTTTGATCCCCAGCATCCCATATGGTCTCCTGAGCACAGCCAGGAGTAATTCCTGAGTGCATGAACCATGAGTAACCCCTGAGCATCACTGGGTGTGACCCAAAAAGCAAAAACAAAAAAAAAAGAATAAAATCAAACAACCTCTAAAATCTGTAGCACACCAAAGCTATTGGAAAGAACAGTGTCATTGCTGTGCTTCTGCAAGAGATGGTTTATGGAAAAGCATCCATTCAAAGGAGGTAAATTATCCCTCCAGGAGACTGAAGCCAATTCTAGCAGTTCCAGAGCCTACAACAAAGGGCAGAAGGTGGCTTCCTTGAAAAGACCCCACTACCACAACAACAACAACCACCACCAGGAACTTTCAGTGTCAAATTGCATGATCCCCTTTAAAAAAAAAAAATAGAGCATTTCAAAGGGCCTGGGCTCTTTCAAAGGAAAAATCTGAACTAGCTGCTCAAAATGAGGGCAGGGTGCAGGGCATTCACTGCATAATGTAGTATTGTTTTCCTACTGGTCCCCCAAAAGAGCCTGAATTTATTTTTTGTTCTATGCGCTTGTAAGCCCTTCTATATTCTGAGCCCTACATGTACTTTATAAAAGGAGCTGTTTGATAGTTAGACAAAACAGGACCTTGGAGATTGAGTAGCATGGCTACTTTTCAGAGAAGATTCTATTACCCCTATGAGCTCTCTGTAGGTAGTCTAGGTAATGAACACAGGTTGTGGGTCTGAAAAATAGATCACCCCCTTTAAAAGTCTATCACTATAACATGATCTTTGTTATAGTGATCCCTTAAGGATCTCCCCAAGGGGAAACAATCTGAGATGAAGGTTCCTCTTCATGGGGCTGTTAAAGCTCACAAAAGTAGAGTCAGTTTCAGCCCCTATCAACATAATATTGTGGAGTGATTCCAGACCCCATAGTCTGTTTCCATTTCTCCCAGCAATGCTCTAAGGGACATAAAAACCAGGGGCTCAGACAAAGCAGGCATACTAGACCTTTTTCTTTTTTTTCCCCCTTTATTTTATTTTATTTTTTTTAAAGTTGTAGATTTACAATTTTTTGTGCTTTGGTTTCAATTATACAATGATCAGATACCCATCCCTCCACCAGTGCCCATTTTCCACCACCATGGATAATATCCCTCCCACCCCAATCCCCCCATCCCCCCTGTCTCTGTGGCAGGGCAATCCCCTGTGTTCTCTCTCTCCTTTTGGGTGTTGTGGTCTGCAAAAGAGGCATTGAGTGGCAAACATGTTCAGTCCATAGTCTACTTTCGACATGCATCTCCCCTCCTGGGAGGATCCTCCAAACATCCTTTATTTGGTGCTCCCTTCTCTATCTGAACTGCCCTTTCCTCTAGGATACCCGGCTGGCCTCTAAGTTATGGAGTAATCCTGCTGGTGCTGATCTCAGCTATTCTTGGGTATTAATCTCATACTTTGTTACTTTATATCCCCCAGATGAATGCAATCTTTCTATGTCTATCCCTCTCTT